GCCTCAGACACTTACTATTACTAGCTGTGTGATACTGCCAAAGTTTTTAAGTGTCAAATCTGGCACTCGAAGTCAGGTCTTCTGATTTTAAGACTAGTGCTCCTGACAGTATACCACACAGCAGGTGTGAGAGAGAGATAGAGACAAAGACATATACAGAGAGACAGAAACACACAGAAGGACAAAGAAAGGGGCAGCTAGGTGGCACAGTGGATAGAGCACTGGCCCTGGAGTCAGGAGGACCTGAGTTCAGATCTGGCCTCAGACACATAATGCTTACTAGCCGTATGACCTTGGGCAAGTCACTTAACCCCACTGCCTAGCTGAAAAAAAAAAGGACAAAGAGAAAGTGACGGGGAAGAGAGGGACAGGGACAGGGACAGAGAGAGAGAGAGAGAGAGAGAGAGAGAGAGAGAGAGAGAGAGAGAGAAAGAGAGAAAGGAAAGGGAGGTGGGAAGGGAGTGGAATATGAGGAGATAGTATTTAGGGTTAGTAGAGGCAGGGATGGAAAGACACAAAAGCATGGGATTTTTGGTCAATGGTATTTTGTTTGTCACTGACACTCTGGGTCCACCCCAATGGGGCTGGTCCCATTTCCAATAGCACAGCTATCCCAATACCATACAGGCCCCTTTCCAAACTAAAGCCAGGGAACCCGAGGGTTCCTTCCCTGTTCTCAATGTTGTTGTTCAGTCATGTTTGACTCTCCGTGGTCCCATTTGGAATTTTTTTTGGCAAATATAATGGAGTGGTTTCCTTCTTCAGCTCAATTTACAGAGCAGGAAACTGAGGCAAACAGGGATAAGTGATTTGCCCAGGGTCACCCAGCTAGTGTCTGAGGTTGGGTTTGAACCCAGCTCTAGGCACTATGGCGCCACCTAGCTGCCCTTGTTCTCAGAGAGGCACCATCTACACAACAAGGTGACCCCAGCTACTGTCCACAGGATAAGAATATCAAATATGATCTCATTTAACCCTCACAACAACCCTGGGGACAGATGCTATCAATATGCACATTTTACAGATGAGAAAACTGAGAGACACAAAGTGATTTTTCTCTGGGCTTCAGTTTCCATATCTGTGAAATAGAGGGTTGAACCAGACGGCTTTTCATGTTCCTTCCAGCTGCAGATCCAGGATCCTAAGATCTTCCGAAAAGCAATTAAATCAGCCTGACGAGCATTTCTGCAGCCTCTGCTATGGACTAGGTGTCCTGCCTGAGCCTCTCTGTAAAATCTCAGCCCATCGGGCAGTACTTCTGATGCAGTCCTTTCAGGCAGAAGAGCCAGTAATCCCAGAAGGGCCACCAGATTCCCTGACAAGAGCAGGTGGCCACCTGGAGACTCACACAGGTGGGAGCCAGCTGCCTCCAGCCTGGGCACCCAGCCAGCCCAGGCTCCCCTTTGGGCCAAGCTCCCAGAGGCCCAGGGCCTCACCATCCTGCCTCTTCCCAGGCGCCCTCTCCTCTCCTCCTTCCAGAGGGTGTGAGCCAGTGTTTACATGTAATCCAATTAACCAGGAATCTAGCAGGAAGTGGCTTGTCAGCTGGCCCTAGATGTTCCTTCCTGAATGAAGCTGGTGAGTGTAAGAGGGGAAGAAGGGGCAAGGGATAGGGAGCCCTGGGAGGAGAGAAACAGGATTCATGTCAGACAGCAGGCCCCTGGGGAGAGGATGGGAAGGGGCTTGGGGCTCTCCAGAAGGGTCTAGAGGGGCAAGACCTTAGAACAAAGAACGCTGGGCTGAGGGCTGAGGGCTGAGGGCTGAGGGCTGGGGGTGGGGGTGGTGATTTAGAACACGGAATGTCAGAGTTGGAGGGGCCTTAGAACACTGGATATCAGAACTGGGAAGGGCCTTAGAACACTGGATATCAGAACTGGGAGGAAAATTAGAACATAGTGTTGGAGCTGGGAGACCCTAAGAACTTTTTAACACCAACTTTGGAGCCAGTCAGCTGATATATCCCCCAACCCATTCACTGTCCAGTCTCCAATAGGTTCCCTTCCCTTCTGCCTAAAGCCCAGTGCATGTGGAGGAGAGAGGGAGCCATGCTGATCCCACAACACTGTTAGGTAGGCTTGGAGGCCAGTGACAAATCAGCTTCACCACAGGCTAGACACAGCCTACAAACAAGCTGCTAACTATTTCCCATCTCCCTCCTGCCCTCAGATGAGCAGTGGCACTCAAAGCCTGAACCAATCTACCCCCCACAAGCCCTTGGCCCCCTCCCCACCCAGGCCAATCATCCCAGAGAGGCAGCCATCTGCCCTGCCCTCCAGGAGAAAAGCTTAAGTAGGCTACTCCACAGGCTGTCTGGCCACCTCCTCCGCATTGGGAAATGGACTTGTGTTAGGCTCCACCTGCTCCCACAAAAGAAAATGGTGACCTTCAAGGAGACGCATCCTAGCATTCCTCCATAGGAGAGCTTAATGAGGTGTCAGGAGACATGGGCCGAGTTCCAACTCTGCCCCTCACTGACATACAGAGTGAATTTGAATACGTCACTTCCCAGCTCTGGGACTCAGTTTCCTCATCTGCAAAAGGACGAGTTTGAGCTAAATGCTCTTGAAAGTCTCACCCAGCTTTGACACTCTGTCTTCTAACATCCCATCCAGCTCCCTCCCGGTTCTGATATTCCCTGTTCTAAGGGTCCTCCCAGC